ATCTCCAGCTCTTCGGATGTACCGTCTTCGAAATGGAAGTTGGAGGTTAGGCGAATATTGCGGACACCAGTCGAGATGACGTTGACAGCAGGGCTGTCCTTTCCATCGTCCATGGGGACAAATTCATTCTTGGCGTAGATTTCACCAAGGTGAGCGATGATTGTGTCTCGAGGGCGGCCGTCCGTCATAACGCGAGGGAAAACTACAATGGGCGTCTTCACAATAATGTCAAGCCGTACACGTGAAGCATTCTCCTGGAGCTGGTTGGCCTGGCTGGCAGCGGCTTGGCGAGCTGCATTGAAAATGGCTTGCATCTTGCCAAACTTGACGAGGAAGTGGATGATCTTCCGGTAGGGCTCCTCTAGGAAATTGATCTTGATGGAGCCAGATCGCAGATAGACCTCGGAATCATAGCCGGGGTGTGTCTCACTATCGGGATCGAATGTCTCGTACTTGAAGTCCGCGAAATCATCTCCTTCTATGGTCAAAAGGCGTCGGATATCAGAGTCCTCCGCGGCACCCAGGTTGACATCGTCGACCAAAGTCAGACTGCCTATCCGAGACTGAATGAGCATCGAGCTGCCCACGAGGAAAACCCCAACGTCGGCAGTGTTCAAACTCAAAGTTGCCAAGCGGACTCCATCATTGTTGAGAATGAGCGCAATACTCTTGAGATTAGCCTTGATGCGAATCTTCCCAGCTTGCTCAGGCTTCTCTTCCACGCTGGCGGTCCCTTCAATAGCCTTGTCTGTTTCTGGGTTGGGTTGAGTCGGTTGTTGAGGATTTGTGAATGTCAGGAGGGTGAAGTCCAGAAGCGTGAGAAGTGTTTTTCTCGTCACGACAAGATTGATAGTGGAGACTGATATGTCAAGGTTCATGGCAACCCCTTCATATGTTGAGTCAAACTCAGGGGACTCGGGTTTAACCCGTACCATCTTCAGCTGGAACAGGTCCTTGTCTTCGTCGGCATCAAAGCCTTTAGAGGAAATGATTCTCTTGAATTCGGGAACCGGATTCTCCTCGATGTGATCATCCACGCTCAAGGACTTCAGAATGACCTCGGCGACCATGTCGTAGGGGCGCATGTAAAAGTCCAGCTCAAATCCTTCGGCAACCAGTTCAACCAGCAACTGATCCCGTTGCGGGTCATGGGGGTCAGAACGGGAGAGTGATCCACGTAGACGGCCAACAGTGAATTTGAATTCGAAGTCTCGGCGATGGATATTAGCCGGTGTATCGACGCGCTTCTTCGCATGTTCGCTGTCTACTTCATCCTCATCGTCGTCAACAACAGGGAGGTCACGTTGGACTGTTGGTTGGAAGGATGATGATCTGTCTCGTGTGGCTGGGGCTGCTTCTTCCTTGGCTGCCGCGGTAACTGAATCAGAGGCAGACTTTTCCGTATCGAATTCCGGGATTGCAATATCAATCAATTTCATCAAGCCCTTGTATTTGGTGTCTGATATTGATGCGTGAAGCTCTGGCAGATGTCCAGATATGCGCGTTCGGGTTAGCTGTGTCACGCTCGGTACGATACACATCTCCAAGGCAAAATCGACATTGATACGGTCGATGATGTGGAAATTCCTAGACTCGACATTCGTGTTGAGCTGCGCTTTGGTTGCATCAACGCCAGGTCCGATGAGGACTTGGGTGGAGTCCAGTTTGATGAGGAAGCGATCGTACATCAGATGCTCCAGTTGCTTGTAATCATCCTCCGCATATTGTTTTTTCTGCTTGGACTGAATTTCTCGCATCGCTTTGCGGTCGACCAATTCGCTGTTGACACTGGCATGACCGGCGTCGATAATCAAGCAAAGTGAACTTGGTTGTGTGATGCTTTCTGGTACAATAATCAAAGGCGCGTGGATATCGAATTGCGCATCAACCTTCTTGTGTTCTTGCAAGGCAAACTCGAGGCCGGCCCGGGTTTGCTGCCGCAGTCCTTCAACCGTGGCACCCGCGGTGTCTAAGAGAGCACCAATCGACTCCATGTGTCGCTCGGGTGGCTCAAAGAACTTCACAATTCCTACGAGGAATCGAGGGTTGTAAATGACCTCAATACTCTTCAGCTTGACCTTCACCGCCGTATCTGCATCGCTGTCGAGCGGGTTCTTCTCCAGCTGCAGATGGAACAAACTGTCCTCATCCTGAAGATCGTCTGCGCTGGTTTGCGAGGCAAGGTCATCATCGTCCTCGCTTAGCTCTTCAACCTTTGTAGATTCAGGGGGAGAATCCTTGACCTTGACGATCTGGGGATAAAGAGTCCCGGCAGTAGTGCCGTCATACATCTTCAGCCCTCCAAGGTCAAGATCAAGGAGATAGGAATCATGGCGTTGAAGTGCCTTGGCTCGGAAATTGTCAAACACTAGCTTCATGACCTCATTGGCCGACCCGTGAGGGTCCTGGATTAACGTAAAGCTACCAGCCCGAAGACTCCAGTTGACCTGGAGTTTAACCCATTCTCGAGGCACATCCACACTCTCGGTGATAGCCTTCTTTTCATCCCAGTCGATGGCGTTATACAACTCTTGTCGCTGCTCTTCAGTCATAGCGGTCTCCTCGGACTCCTCTTTCTTAGCGCCCCAGAGCCAGGCAGACCACGATTGTTGTTCTGCTGGCTTTTTGACCCCGACATTTTCTTTTCGTAGCTGGTTTCGTGCAAGTGAGCGCCAGAATCGGATATCCTCGTAGCTCAGTTTTGCTTCCAGTCTCTGCAGTTCCTTGGTTTCTTCGGGCGTGAAAGCCTCTTCCTTCTTCGTTTTTTTGAACAAGGCAATGTACGCTATGCGGTCATCTCTGCGCTCCTTGATATAGTCCCAGGTCCAGCGCCTGTTGCGTTCGTGGATCTTGCTCAGAACGGCTTCTCCTGCGAACCTCATCCATGCCCGGGGGTCTTCTTTTGGTGAGGCCTTAGGCTGGATTTTCTTATGTTCCTGGTGGCGAATGAAATAATGGAATAGATCGACCAGCATCAACGCGTCGCGATATTGTTTGTCATCAAGAACAAAGCCGAGCTCATCGAAGAGCAACCGTGCTTTGATTGCGGGCCGTTCGTATGTGCCTGACTTGTCCATTTCCAGTCCAGCACGGCCACTGACGGGGCGCAACATGAATTGGTTTCCTTCGTCGGCATCGATTGCAGTTCTCAGTTTCTCTATCAGATCAGCGCGGCTGATTCCCTGGGCCTCTGCGCCTATATCCGAGCCTCGCCCGGTTCCGAGCAATTTGGCATCCGTATTCCAATAAGCCGAAAGAGCACCGAGGACGGCCAGTTTATGCGTGACACTGGAGTCGGATTGGATGAAAGTCGGATTCCATTCCCCGTCTGTGCTGACGGCACTCAATTCCTTGAGTGTCACGCCGACAGCAAATGGGTGTCCAGGTGATGCGATAGAGTCTTCGTAGCGGAAATGCACATTCTTGATAGAAATCTGCAGGTTGTCCACCACGGCCGTGATCATGCTCTGTGTGAAGCTCTGATTCCGGCGCTGTTCCTCTTGGCTCATGCCTTCCGCATTGCGCTCGCGCAGAATTTCGGCGCTCTCAACCCGTTCCATCTTCAGCGCGTTCTCTCTCTTTGCTTCCTCTTCTGGGTCAAAGTCCGCATCTTCTCTGGGCGCCGCGAGTAGGAAGACATCTTGAATATCGACTTTCACCGGTTTGCCTCGTAGGTTTGACCATGGGATTGATAGTGTAAGCTCTCCGAGGTGGCCTTCGACGACGTTCAGAGGGAGACGTAGCTGATCGAGCGCTTCGCGGCGTAGTTCAAGGTTCCGTAGCTTGACGTCGCCGGACCAGATTCCGATGTTGAGCTGGGTCGCATCGAAATTCTTGACGTAGATTCCCAGGAACCGGTTCAGTAGGTTAGCAACCACTCCCTCCAACATGATTGCGGCGTGGAGCCGTTGACCGGGCCTGGTGGTCGGGCTCTATGGCCGGTGCGGGTGTCAATAGGTGGGGATTCCACGATAGTCTGTAATTGAAGGGATTTCGCAAGTCAGTGGCGATCCAAGTGAAAGGAAACAAGGGAGCCTCTTCATTAATTGGACTCTTACGCGATAGAAGGGCTGCTTTTATGAACCCTGGCTGATAGGGAACATCCAAGCCATCCAACTGAGAGCACGCGCGATACTGAGGTGGGACCTTTTTCCCCTCCAAGCAGAGCGGAAATCGGTTAAGATATGACTAGGTGTCAGATTAAGAAGGGATGTAGAGAAATCACAAGCGCTAATTGAGACAAAATGATGTTGGGTATTCCAGCCCAAGTTCAGGCAAGTTAATGGCCCTGATTGCGTGGATCAAAAGAGATGATATCTGTTACGCAAATTGTATGATCGAGGTACTCGATACAAACGGGGTACAGCTTCTTACGCCAGGGGCGGGTATCATTCCCGCCTACCACCAAGTATTTGCAAGGTACAGAGTACTCGAGACACGATACACTTGGCACTACGTGGGAAGTTGGGGGGCCAGTGGTAAGTATTTTGGTTACTTTCGTTATCAAAGCCGTTTACGCACGAGGCAATGGCCCTGAGAATCCCTGCAATATACTGTACCGTACTGGTGGATACACACTTGTTTACCCCAGGAGTGACGTAGCCTCCCTGGTTAGGGCAGCAGCCCCCCGAATTTGATTGGCTGGTGGAGGAATTGGTGCCTGAGGTAACTTTATCGACACCTGAGGCCAAAACCTCTGCATCGAGCTACAATCTGCACTTCTGGTCGCTGCGATCCGCCCTAAAGCACACCACACCTCATCACTCGGTCACTTCATTTCTGGATATTCTTATTTGTTCCCTCCCGGAAAGCCCACGCCGCCGACTTTCTGATCAAAGTCTTTTTCCGGGTGTATACCCTCAATCTCCACTCTTCTACTTCTGTCCAGCTTTTTTTTCAGGTCAATTGGGTGAGTTGACATTGCTGTCCGGCCGTACCCGAGGCTTTTCTCCTCCAACTTGCTAACCCGACGACAACGAAAAGCTCTATATCTCCCCGCCATGTACCGCAACGCCGCCGCCCGCTCCGCGCTCCGCGCATTCTCGAGCTCCAATGCCTCCGTGGCTCGCTCCGCTCTGAGCAAGCAGATCTGCAAGGCCCAGATGACCTCGTCGGCCCGCAGTCTGCTCCGTCCCTCCGTCTCGTGCTTCGCGCTCGCCGCCCACAAGCCCGTTACCACCGCTCTTGTGCGCTACTCGTCTTCTGCGGCTAAGGTGAGATACGGCATACGCCTTGTGATTTGTGATTTGCAAAAGACACTCAATGGCTAATGTCGATACAATAGGAGCACGATGATGATGATGTTGATGTTATGGCGGGTATGAAGTCCGAGGCTGTACGTATTTCCGTTCTCTGTGGATCCGGGTCTGCACATGCTAACTGCGCCTCGCCGATATAGAAAGTTATCAAGGATACCTTCAGCTTGAGTGAGGTCCCCAAGGAGGCCCTCTACCTCGGTATGGCCGGTGTCGTCCCCTATCTGGCCACCTCTCTGCAGACCGTCTTCCTCTCCTACGAGATCAACCGCGCTGCCGCTGTTGGCGAAGGTCTGATCTTCTCTGGCGAGAGTGCTGAGCTGATGCTGCACATGCTCGAGCCTGTCCAGATCGGATACGGTGCCGTCGTGAGTGATCCCGAGTGTCTTGAGTAATCAGTTAGAAGTTTGCTAATCGCCTTCTACGGTTAGATCCTTTCTTTCCTCGGTGCCATTCACTGGGGTCTTGAATGGGCTGGCTACGGCGGTAAGTTCGGTTACCGCCGCTACGCCGCCGGTGTGATCGCCCCCGCTGTGGCCTGGCCTACTCTGCTGCTCCCCGTCGAGTACGCTCTGATCAGCCAGTTCCTCGCTTTCACCTTCCTGTACTACAACGACGCGCGTGCTTCCGCCGCTGGCCGTGCTCCTCACTGGTACGGCATGTACCGTTTCGTGCTGACCTTCGTCGTCGGTGCCTCGATCGTGGCTACCCTGATCGGCCGTGAGCAGATCCAGCAGACCACCGCCTCCGAGCACAGCATCAAGGACAAGATCAACGCTCTGATCTTCTTGCAGAAGAAGGAGAAGGAGGAGGCTGCGGCTCGCCGTCTTCAGGCACTCGAGGTCGAGGATTCCGAGTAAATATGCCTTTTAAGGTGAGGGGCATGCCCCCGAGACTGATCTCGATGTTTGCATTACCGTGATTTCCTGTAGAATATACGCAGAACGAACGCACTAGGCCACTGAAATTTCTTTTGTTCAATTGAAGTGTCGTAGTTGGGACAAAGTATTCGAGTAAGAGTCTTATCGTGAGGGATCTGACATTCCGCATCGAGTGGGGGTAGATATAAGCGTACGGGTAGCAGGATATAGGTATCCATGGGATGCTCCCGCATTAAAATTTCTTTTCTTTTTCTTTTTTTCTTTTTTTCTTTTCTCCAACGGATTCAATAAAGCTACACACGTGCTTGGCATCAAATCTGAGTTAGAGCTGCAAGATTAGGTACGTACAATAGCTACTATATGTCGCAAAAGGGTACAATTGCTAACCGGCATCCTCCTCAGGTCACACGGGTTGCCGCAGATCGGAGAGGGATAATCCAAAGGGGTAAAACGAATCTCACGTACATACTCGAGCGGGTCGATCCCATTGAAACTGTCACGGGGTGCCGAAAATATCGACTAAAGATCTCACGGACGGCGCTAGTTGAAACGGCGCTGGAAATGGGAAAAAAAGAGGGTACTTTTGCCAAAGTGGCATGGCTTTCGTTGCTTTCCTTTGCTTGCAAACGGCTTCGAGGGAAGGTAAAGCGAGACCTGCATGCGAGGTACGCATAGTAGCGCCCAATGGCGCCAGAAAAAACAACGCTGGAATCCACCTGGATCGGCCTTTTCTTCTCTTTTTGTTTTTTTTGGTTTTGCTTATTTTTATTTTTTGGGCTGTTAATCTATGGAGTAATCGTCTACGGAGTCTTTTCGTATTGTAAGTTGTTAGGTACGGAGTACTTGTTCGCACGTCCCTGTTCCTGGCAGGTTTGACAACATCCGCTCTCTCCACGTCTGGAGATAATGGCCTCTTATAGGGCAATTAAGCCGGTTAACCAGACCAGTGCCAGTTCTCCGTGGGGGAAGGAACCTTGTACATACTAGATAACGTCATCTGCTGGGGGTTTATACAATGTACAGATTGGACTATTCTACATCAAGCATAAATGCCAATCTGCCAATCTGCCAATCTGCCCTGAGACAGGGATCTTGAATGAGACCCGGGAAGTAGGGAGTCAAGATCATAGGCAGTTCCCCGGAGGGGTTGACGCACTCGAATGTTCTTGGCCTGGACTAGCCCGTTCTCCAGATGGGATTTCCCTTTATTTCTCTCTCCCTCATAGGCTATATACCACATCCGAGAAAGCTAATAATTCAGTAATTCTTCCATATGGTGGGATGTGATATTCTCCATGAATAGGAATTTAATCATAGAATGTCAACTAATCAGAAAGGGGGGTTCTAGAACGACTCAAGTGAGGAAAAATGGACCGTGTCATGTGTACGATCGACGGGGCTTGTGGAGTGCCCAGGCTTGGATAGACGGGGTTGGAGTTGTATGTGTAATATATACAACATACGGATAGTGACTATGGTAACTACTAACTAGATAGTTATAGGACAGGATAGTTAGATATAGGATGTATAGTTAGTTATTAGATGCTCGCTGTTAATAAGATAGGATATAACCCTATATAAGAATAGATCAAGAATCCTAATCCTATAAACATCCTTCTCCAGCTAATCTCCCATTTATAAAGCCAAATAGTGGGGGAAAGTGACGAGGTCTTCTGATCAAAAAAAAAAATCCCCCGAACCGGATTTCTCATTTCCCCCCCCCACCTGGGCTTTTTCAATGGTCCACCCCTTTGGTTAAAGAGCGCTGCCCTGGTGCTTTGGGAGATCTTTCTTGTTTTCTCCCGATTCTTCCGTTTTCTCTATATACGACTTGATACTGGCGTATACCTCGACTATTTACCTCTTCTCCTTCTCCTTCTTCTCAACCTCTCACCCAATTCTCAACAATTTCCAATCTTCAATCTCCAATCTCACCTTTATCCTTTATAACGGTGAAAGTCAACTGCCATATTTCACTTCTATACCTTGGCCACTGCTCTGATACGTCACGCTCCACTTTTCTGCCACGGGAGCTGGTCCCCATATCCCCAACACCGCCACCTCGTAGTTCTCCTCCCCTCCGTTATTCCCCTCTTTAAATCCTGGACAGTAAAATCGCTCTCTCTCTTAATACCTCTCTTTTTCACACGTTCTGGAAGATGCGAAACCCATTCGATTTGGACTTTGATAGCCTCGATGGAGACTCCGAGCCCGCCCGGGATTTCGAGGCCCCCGAAGAACATGTGCACCAGCGAGTGGAGGACTTACAACGAGAACACCTGAACCTCAACTATCGTCCCAAACAGAGAGACGATGGAGACCGGTCGTTACTGCAGGACGAGGACGAGGATGAAATGAAGAGTCGATTCATTGGCACCATTGACCAGGGTACAACGAGTACACGATTCATCATCTTCGATTGCACAGGTGTCCCTGTCGCCAAATACCAGACTGAATTCCATCAGATTCATGAACATCCAGGGTAGGTGTCACAACCCATCCCTTTGAATCCTCCCCCCGACTCAAATATTAATTTGCCCCGCACCCCCACAGATGGCACGAACAAGACCCTTATGAATTGGTCGAGTCGGTCTATATCTGTATCGAAGAGGCCATGAAATCCTTCCTCGCCCTGGGCTACTCCACATCCGACATCGAAGCCATTGGCATCACCAGTCAAAGAGAAACTGCCCTGGTCTGGGACTGGGAGACCGGCGAGCCCCTGCACAACGCAATCACGTGGACCGATACTCGCACCGTCAACTTGGTCCGGGAACTGAAAGAAAGGCCCGGCGCCGATGAACTCCGTGATATTTGCGGCCTCCCCCTCTCCACATACCCCTCGTCCGTCACGCTACGATGGATGCTCGACCATTTGCCCGACGTCCGGTCGGCCTATGATGATGGCCGCGCTGCATTTGGAACCGTCGACAGCTGGCTCATCTACAACCTCAACGGTGGTCCGAAGAACAAGCTTCTGGTGACCGATGTGACCAATGCCTCCCGAACGATGTTCATGAACCTCGAAACCCTCCAATATGACGATCGCCTCTTGAAGTTCTTCGACATTGACCCGACCAAGATCCGTCTGCCCGAGATTCTGCCCTCGGCCGATCCCGATGGGTTTGGTAGAATGGCCGAAGGGCCGCTGGAGGGTGTTCCCATCACCAGTTGTCTGGGTGACCAGGCTTCGGCCTTGGTCGGTCACTGTGCCTTTTCTCCGGGAATGGCCAAGAACACTTATGGTACCGGATGCTTCCTTCTCTACAATGTGGGCGAGAAGCCGGTTATCTCAAAACACGGTCTCTTGGGCACCGTGGGCTTCCAATTAGGCCGAGACCGCAAGGCCGTCTACGCACTAGAAGGCAGTGTGGCCGTGGCGGGTAGTGGTGTCTCCTTCCTAATGAATAACCTTGGATTTTTCCGTGACTCACGGAAGGTCAGCGATTTGGCTGCCAGCGTGCCAGATAATGGAGGCTGCATTTTCGTCACTGCGTTCAGTGGTCTCTTTGCTCCTTACTGGATCGATGATGCCCAGGGAACTATCTGTGAGTCTGAACGTGCTCGTCTCGCAGAAACCTAAATCGCTAACACTGCCAGGGGGAATCACCGCCCACACACAAAAAGGACACATTGCCCGTGCAACCATGGAAGCGGCCTGCTTCCAAACTAAGGCTATCCTCGACGCCATGGCAATGGACAGTGGCAAGGGCCTGACAGAACTGGCTGTTGACGGCGGCATGAGTAACTCTGATATTTGCATGCAGGTACGTTGCAATGTGTTTACTCTTAACTCAGACCACACTAACGGTTATTTGTTCCAGACCCAAGCCGATATTATTCAAATCCCCGTCGAACGTCCCTCCATGCACGAAACCACTGCCCTCGGCGCCGCAATCGCCGCCGGCTTCGCCATCAATATTTGGAAGGATTTCTCCGAACTTAAGCACATGAACCGCGCCAACCGAGCCTCCTTCACCCCAACGATGTCCGTCAAAGCCAGCGGCCGCATGTATAAAAAGTGGTCCAAGGCCGTGGAGATGTCGCGCGGCTGGATGGCCGACGAGGACAGAGAGGAATACGACGAATAAACACCTTTTTTACATATCCCTTTGAGATGACCCCAATCGGGTCCGTCATCGACCCCGCGGCCCAGTTTGTGCAATTCATACCATGCACGATACATACACACGCGCAAGAAGCAAGAAGCAAGAGAGATTTGAGAGGTTTACATGAAGATCATATCAACCGGATATCGCACATATTCTCTCTTGGAGATACCCGGAATTTTTTCTTTTTCACAGGGACATCTGGAACACCTCGCGTGTCTTCCATTTATATATATTTAGAGAATTTCCAACCCCGACTAGAAAGTCCGTCCTAATAAGGCGTCTTAGCCGCCCACGCCGATGTCCCCCTCCAATCATGACCGTTATGACGGGAAGTCGTTATGACGGGAAGTCGTTTGTTCCAGAAGAAGAGCTGGGGATTTTAACTTTTTTTTTTTTTCATCTCATTTTGCTGTTGGCTAGCTTCCTCTCCTGGAACAAGCTCGACTTAACTACCACTTGTGTACATACAAACCGTTTTCGAGAAGAAATGAAAAAAAAAATTATACACATGTCATTCTCGTTCGTATGTTGGTTTGCAAATAAACAATGAAGCTTAAAACTTTATTACGACATTCCCACCCGGAATCGAGAATACCCCGGAATCCAGTTTCTGTCTCCGGATTGACGTAAACACCATGACATCATAACAGCGGGGTAGTAACTAACCAAGATTACTGGTTACTGGTTCTAACCAATAGTGGAGTGAGACATCTGGTGGTTCGGCGATGTGTTCAATACATACATAGCTTTTCAGATCACATGATCGCTTCAGCCTGTGGTGTCCTACCATAGTGAATAGATCGTAGAGGCCTCACTGTTGAACCCTTGGAAGTGGCTACGATCCATCTAATGCATGTAGAGAGAGAT